AATCCCTTTTAACAGTACCCATAAGTCCTGGTCCTTTTGCCCCATCTTCACTATGAATCCTTTGCAGTGAATCCAGACCTTTGTCTATGCAGCTATGTATGTAACAAAGTTGCAGGTAAGGAAAATGCATAGTTTGGACTTTTTTTTTTACATAAATAATATACTGTAGGAACGTTTTGCAGCTTATTTACTCAACACCGTCTTGGAGGTATTCCCATGCCAATATATATCTCTACTGTTTTAAACTGCTACAATAGTGTTTTGTGTAATGTACCAGCACTGTTTAGCTATTGCTCTGTTTTTAAAATCACAAATATATGTGGAGTAACCAATTTTTGGAAAGCAGAATGTTAGCTTTTTTTCTTTTATATTTATTCAATTTTTGAAAGAGTACAAACAGGGGAGGGGCAGACAGAGAGGGAGACACACAATCTGAAGCAGGCTCCGGGCCCTGAGCTGTCATCACAGAGCCCGAGGCGCCCCAGAATTTTATAGGTTTTTAAAGCTTAACATCATGATACTAGATCATCTAATAATATCACATGGGAGCATCCAAAGTAGCCACAAAAAGGGAATTACTATTATGAAAGTTGCAAATTTTGGTCCTGATTTTTACACGTCAAAGAATAAAATCAATTCCTCAGAAACGTATAAAACAAAATTCGCTATTTAATGTTTGTTTTATTTTATTTTATTTTATTTTATTTTATTTTATTTTATTTTATTCTATTTTATTTTTAAGAGAGAGCAAGACAGAGCGCAAGCCGTGGAGGGACAGAGAGAGAGGGAGACAGAATCAAAAGCAGGCTCCAGGTTCTGAGCTGTCGGCACAGGGCCCGACATTGGGCCACAGACAGCGAGATCATGACCTGAGCCTAAGTCGGACACTTAACCGACTGAGCCACCCAGGCGCCCCTAAAACAAAATTCGTTTTAATGTCATAGTGGTTAGGTGTCAAACTCAGTTATAAATAGAGTTTTTTTTAATTCCCACAGTTTGGGAACTTTTTAGACATTTTGGGATTATAATACAACAGTTGTCTTCCCTGCCACCCTGAGCTACTCACTGAAGAGCCAGCTCAGTGTCACAATCCCCGTAGCATTTTTAATGGACCTGCCACTGGCACTGGCATTTACATACTCTCCTATGCTTACCTGGAACATAAGCCCCTCAAAAGAAGGAGGCTGGGTCTTAGCCTCCTAGAAGATGCAGTAAAGGTTATCTAACAAGTATATCTTCCGTGTTCATGCTTCCCCATTTTCAACATTTTCTTTTTCCTTCCCAATTCTATTAGTTTAGCTTGACGGCTGCTTGAAAATGTGAACTATTGTTGGACAGCCCATGTTTATGCATAACTTTTTAAAAATATTTTTTATTTATTTTTGAGAGAGTGCAGGCAAAAGAGGGACAGAGAGAGAGAGAGAGAGGGACAGAGGATCTGAAGCTGGCTCTGTGGGCTCTGCACTGACAGCAGTGAACCCGATGTGGGGCTTGAACTCACGAACCTCCAGATTGTGACCTGAGCCAAAGTCAGACACTCAACCAACTGAGCCACCCAGGTACCCCTATGCATAATTTTTTATTTAAAATTCTGGTCACAAAATGTAGGTTCAAACATTCTGGAATTTTTTTTTTTTTTTTTTTTTTTTTTGGTTTTTTTATTTTTGGGTTTGTGTCTCTTGGTCAATGCTTTTGTAATACCTTTGAGGCTGTGTGTACTGGGGGTCACCACGTATACTTTGTCTTAGGATTTTCACTTCTTTCTTCAAAATTTGTACTTTTGGAGCGCCTGGGTGGCTCAGTTGGTTCAGCATCCACCTTCGGCTAGGGTCATGATCTCTCGGTTCGTGAGTTTGATCCCCACGTCAGGCTCTGTGCTGACAGCTCAGAGAGTGGAGCCTGCTTTGGATTCTGTGTTTCCCATTCTCTCTGCCCCTCCCCTGCTCATGCTCTGTCTCTCTGTCTCTCTCAAAAATAAACAAACATTAAAAAAGAAAACTTGTACTTTTAGATGATCTTAACTGCATTGTATACATCTGTGTAAGATAATTTCTAGAAAAAGTCTTTGTTTTATAACTTACTACTTGACGTCCAGTAGATGGCACTAAATCCCTTTGAAATTTATGACACTAATTCCTAGTAGGTGTTACTGGCTAATGGATAATTCCTTCCACCACAGCCAGGGAACAGAAAGGGTCCTTTCTTTCATCTAATTCTGTGATTGTTATATAACTTAGTATTTTTGTTCACAGTTTAAGATAAACCTGGTGATGGGCACCTGTTGGGCTCAGTCGGTAGACCATGCATGTCTGGATCGCAGGGTTATAAATTCAAGCCCCACGTTGGGGGTAGAAATTACTTAAGAATAAAATCTTAAAAAAAACACAACAAACGTGTTGGTATTTAAGTTATTAATTTACTATTTCTGACTCATATTTCAACCTTTTTTCCTTTTTATGTGTGGTTTTCAATCAAGTTGATTCAAGGGGAAGGATCATAGTATTGAAATAAGACTGGGCTAAAGGAGTTGAGGATAAGAGAGAGGATAAAGAAATATGCTGAATATTCATGATAAAATCACATAGAAAATATAAAAGTATACACAATCCAAATTTAAGATAATGAAATCAAAGTGTTTTCCTATTGTCAGTTTTGGTACGTTAGTAAAATTGTATTCATTTCATTATGATTTTCAAATTTGTTTTACAAATAATTTGCAGTTAAAAAATACTCATTAAGGGCCGCCTGGGTGACTCAGTTGGTTAAGCGTCTAACTCTTGATTTTGGCACAGGCCATGATCTTCTGATCCTGAAATCGAACCCCACATAGGGCTCTGTGCTGTCAGCATGCAGCCTGCTTGGAATCCTCTCTCTCTCTCTCTCTCTCTCTGTCCCTTCCCCACTCATGCTCGTTTAAGTAAACATTTAAAAAATATATAAAATGGCCAGTTAAACTTGAATTTCACATAACAACAAAAATACTTGTAAAAAATGTTATATCTCCATTCTCATTTCTAGTTCTTTGTGCTTTCTTGAAAACCTTTATCTTCACTGTGTTCATTAGCTTTCATCAAGAATAACCTTTTAGATTCAATTAACCATTAAAACCGGAAAATGTTTCCTATGTGTCAGGCATGATTTACTACATTTATTCTACTTGTTAATTCTATCGAGTTCATTTAATTTTAATGGATTTGTCAAACATTAAAAAAAACACGTTTAAAAAAATTCCCATCATGCCTACATGTGCATGTTTTTCGCCCCGCCCCGCCCCAGCGTTTGAGTGTCAGTGTTCTGTAACTCGCTCTGGAAACCTATTTCTTAACTCTTGTTTTTAGAACAACTACCAACCGAAACATTGGTAGCATGGCCTCTAGGCGAAACAGACCTAGGTTCAGTCTCCATCTTTGGCTGAATGGATGACAAGGAAAGCCATTTAGCTTCTCTGGGCCTCAGTTTCCTTGTTTGCAAAATGTAGATAATTAACCTAATGGGGTTATTTGGAGGATTAGCTATAATGTAGGTGACACATAGTAAGCTATTATTTTCATGTATTAGCAACAAACTTTTTAAAAAAGCTTTATGAAATATGTTCAAGCTTACCAATACATTTCTTTTTAAAATGGTGATGTCCATATATTAATGTAACTTGGGTCTCAAGATAGTTTTCATCTCAAAAATCTTGATAGGCTTAGGAAATAATACTTAAATTTCTTAGTCACGGGGGGGGGGGGGGGAGGAGGCTCCATGCCCAATGTGGGCTTGAACTCACCACCCTGAGGTCAAGAGGCACATGCTTTACTGACTGAGCCAGCCAGGAGCCCCAGTTCTGTATTTTTATATTGGTACCATAATTTATAGTCTTGAACAGAGGAAGTTTTTTGTTTTGTTTTGTTTTGTTAATCTTTTCATCCAGAATTAGAAGGTAAGAAAAGACCCTGAACGAGATTTAGGTCAAAGAACCTCGGGATTCTATGCCACTCCGCAGGTACAGTAAGTTTTTGAGCTTTAAAGCCCCCTCGTGTAAGGGAGTAATTATGCCTGCACTTGGGGGTAGGGGTAGGGAGTGCCATTGAAGAGACGCACAGGACTGTATACAGCCGCCCGCGATTCCACTTTATAGGGAGAGAAAAAACGCTGCGCGGCGAGCATTCAACGAAAGCCACGCTTTTCCCTCCTCAATCCCAATAGCCACGTGGCGCCCGAGGGATCTCAGGGCCCACCAGCTTGCAGGCGTCGCTCTCCCTTAAGGGGGATTCGCCGCGAGGCCCACCACTGCCTAGGTCCGGGGAAGCCTGGAACCTCTGGGACCGTGGCCGCCACACGACGGGCTACAGCCCGGAACCCGATTGGGACAGAGCGTCCTGCGACGCGCGGTACCAGCCTTCAACTCTAGGGATACACGGCAAGCCCTCGGAACTTTTCCCCGGGGACAGGTCCCGGCAACAGGTCCGAGGCGGGGCCGGGCTGGGCCAGATAGACCATAGCTCCGCGGCGGCCGGTGAATCAGCGCCGGCGCCCAGGTCAGCCCTCCCCAGCCCCAGTGCCAGATCTGGGGAGGAGTAGCGGCGCCGCGGATCACGGGCCACTTAGGGCTCGCCGGGACTGGAGAAAGGTGACGTCACCGTAGCTGGGTGGGGGGGTGGTGTTCAGCCGGCTCCACCAATGGGAAACAAGCAAAGTGGCTTGCTTTCTGTAGCTCTGAGCCAATACTAACAAAGCAAAAGGGGGTTGTCGGTATAGAACCAATGGAAAACAGGGAAGGAGCACGAGGCGGAGTTGCGAATCCTGTCACCAATTGGAAAGAGGGGGTGGAGCCCGGGCCTTGTCAAGCGCAGCCAACCAGAGAGAGGAGCGGACTCTAGGGGGCGGGGCCGTAATGTTTTTCCCCAATCGGACAAGGCCAGGGGCGGGGCATTCTCTAGGGTGCCCAATGAGGAACGCAGCCGAAGCGGGCCTGTCAAGAGAAGGGGCTGGGGGCGGGGGGATGGTGAGTCGGAGATAAACACTCCGCGGCGGTGGCGGCTGCTGCTCTTCTTCGGGTTCTGTCACGGTGTTGGCGGTGCCCAGCTCACCGGCCCCCCTCCCCCTTCCGGCGAGCGCGGTCGCCAAAGAGGCTTTCTCAACCCTGCTCTGCGGGGTCCACAGCAGGGTGCGGGTGTCCGGCGGCGGCGGCGAGCCCGTGGGCAGTGGGGGTTGGTCCCGCGGCTCCGGCCCCCGGTGCAGAATGGCGGCGGCGGTTCGGATGAACATCCAGATGCTGCTAGAGGCGGCCGACTACCTGGAGCGGCGGGAGAGAGGTGCACGGGGATGGGAGGGGTCCGTCCCGAGCCGGGGCCGGGGGCTTTGAGGGGCCCCGCCGCGGGTAGGGGCTCCCAGCCGCTCTGGGGGTGGTTGGAAGCGCGGAGAGCGCGACCGCGAGCGCTCCCAACCCCTCCAGCTCTCCCCACGCGCGGTCCGAAGGGAGGCCACTGCTGCCCCAAAGGCGATGAATGGAGGTGGAAAAGGGGCCGCTGCCCCCCGGGGTCCCGAGCTCCGTCCCCACCCCGAAGCGAATGGGGTGCCCGGGGTCCCCTCGGCCAGGCCGTTGGTTTACCTCACCGGGGCTCGTCCCGACCGGCCCCCGAGTGGGCCTGGCGTCCCGTCCCCCAGCCGGAGGAGCAGCGCCTGCCTTACGCGCCCCCTTCCCCGCCCTCTGGGCTCCGGGTGTTTGCCCTGCACCTTCGCCTGAGGCTGGTCCCACTTAAAGCACACCAACCTGCTGGACTTTGCCAGTGGGAAACCCAGGCACCACGAGCTTAGCGACTTGCCGTGTCTTTCTCAACAATGAGCAGCTGGAATGCTCCTTACACCTGCTCCGAACTGAGGGTATTCACACAATTTTTAAAAACAATCATTGTTCTAAGAATTCCACTTTGCTTCGTTTATTTCTTTCCACGATATTCTTGTATTGAAAAATAAAATTTAAAAAGGAAATGCTGTGGAGGGGAGAGAGTATTGAATGTTCTAGGCTCATTCATTAACTGGATCCTTCGGTTTTCTAGAAGCTGAACATGGTTATGCCTCCATGTTACCATACAATAACAAGGACAGAGATGCCTTAAAACGGAGGAACAAATCCAAGAAGAATAACAGCAGTAGCAGGTAATTTGGTAAATATTTCTTTTTCTCTTTTAGATTATACTGCAGATGACACAAACTGCAGAATGGAAGTTGCCTGTTGTGATTATAACTCTGTAAATACATTAAGTAGCAATCATGATTCAGTAAGGCACACATGGTCTTAAGCCATTGGAGGAAGCAGCCCTTCTGTTTGGGTTGCGCGGACTGAAAAGAGCAATGGAAATGTTTTACATTTCTTTAGGAACTTTTAAAATTAATTTTGCTTTTCTTCCCTTTTGGAACAAAAATTTTTGGAAACTTCCAGTGGGATTAGTTAACGGTAACCATATTTTGCCTTCAGAAGTTGCAGATTCAGGGCAAGTTTTCTAATTGAAAATGCTGGATATTATCCATTTCTTTTACTTTTCATAGTGAAGATTTTATAAACATGTTAAAGTATCTGATTTATCATAGGTGGTAGGATTTCATATTCAACATGTAAATTAAATGCAGTTATTTGTCTGATAATCTGTCAACATCTATTTATAATGGCAAAGAGGAATGGTTGACGTTGAAGCCTGCCTTTTTGGTGATGGAAGAACGAATAATATTAAAATATTAATATGCCACAGTCCTTTTAGGTTAGCCTTATAGTTCTTAAAAATCTGTGAATCTCTCTGGGGAGTATGTGGTTAATGTCCAGTGAAGTCACATTAAAGCCCTGAATATAGTTTTTCTTATTAATGATACTGCCCCCTTTTTTCCTCTCTTTCCCCTTAAAATATGTTAGCTAGGAAATCTTCTAGATCTGTTTAATTACACTTTTCATTCCAGTAAATTAAGTCATTCACATCTTCATCACTGATTTAGAATCCTTATTCCTCTCCCGTTGTCATGAATAACTCCCTGCAAGTAACTGTATTTGATTAGCCTCTGTGGCCTAATACAGACCACTTAAGCCTAAAACTTGTTCTTGCTGTTGCTTCTGTCCTTGATTCACCCCATTGTTGGTAAAAACACAGGATGCGAGCAGCACACATGTGCTGAGCTCTTGAATAGGAAGGCACGTGAAGGATGAACCTGGTAATTAACTACCCCTGTGGTTTTTCCTTTCCCTCCCATCTTTCACATTACCTGAAGGTGGTGCCCAGTAGATCTGCGTGTGGGTCCCAAGGGCTTTTAAGAAGAATGTTAATACTGATTTGTATTGTGCAGCGGTATAAAACAATTCAGCTGTCTTGCATTTTGTTACATTATTTTTAAACTTTTGGAAGAACTTTGAAGGCTTTTGGTTTGTTTTTCTTCAAAAATGTAGTCCATTTGTTGCTTTTATGCTTATCCACCGGTAATTTGGGAGGAATTGTCCACACTAATAGTCAAGGTTTAATCCTTAGCACTTTCTTTTTCCCTAAGTTTCACAGGAAAGTTGGAGGAGGTTCAGTGGTGGGGAGAGGAATATGATGTTGTTGAAAGAGAAGGAGGCCGGTCCCAAAAGGTGATTAAGAAAGACAAATAATGATAGTTAAGAATTGCAAGCCAAGAAACAGATTCGTTCTCTTTAATATCCAGCGTTATTATTGAAGAAATAGCTGTAACTTCTGTTTTGGAAAAACTTTTCTTTTAATGAGCTTGGTTTGCTTTCCATGGTTATCACATGTTTCCCATATTCTTGACTAATCATGAATTAGTGTAATACCCTCAGTGGTGCAGGGATCTCTGAGAAACCATGATTAAACCTGGAGATGGCACCAAGCAGATGTGAAGCAAGAGCAGGTTGTTTTAAATGTGATCACTTCCTTCATGCCCTGTTTAGAATGACCCTTCCTGAGCAGTGAGACATCTCCCCAGAGAATGCAGTTTGACCCCTTGATTTGAATTCGACTTCTATCCAAGGCCATGTATGGTCAGGATTTTGAACTGAGGTGAGGGCTATGGAGAGATTACTTCTGGTTTACATAACCACTGGATAACAGTGTATTCTTGTTAATTCAGGTCGAAATGCTATGCTCGTTGCTTGTAGAGTCAGGGGGCTACTTTTTTCTAGGACAATTAAAAAAAAAGAAAGATTTAGCCACATATCCAGCTTCTTGGGAACTGAAAATGCATATCTTAATCCAGTTTCTCTAGTTGCTTGTTTAAAAAACAAAACCAAATGGGGCGCCTGGGTGGCTCAGTTGGTTAAGCGTCCGACTTCAGCTCAGGTCATGATCTCACAGTTTGTGAGTTCAAGCCTCGCATTGGGCTCTGTGCCGACAGCTCAGAGCCTGAAGCCTGCTTTGGATTCTGTGTCTCCCTCTCTCTGTTCCTCCCCCACTTACTCTCTCTCTCTCTCAAAAATAAAGATTAAAAAAAAAACTTTAATAAAATAAACAAAACCAAATGAAATTTTGAAATTTTGAATATTGATTGTTTCAGAATCATCCAGAGAACTACTGGAATATAGGGAGGTGGCATCTTTTTCTTTTTTTTTTTTTTTTTCTTTCCTACTGATTTTTGAAATGAGTTACTAATTATTTAGAATTGAAATCCAGAGTTTTTAAAGGTATATTTTGTTAAATTGGTCAAGCAGGCTTTGGCATTCATGTGAAAGAGGAAGTTCACACCTGCCACCTAGTTCTTTTACGCAACCATGGCCATATAGCTGAGCTGATGTGGAGTCTTTGAACCCAAGGACTTTTTCCTATTCTCATACACTCTGTAGTCTGGCTTAGTTATCTTTTTGTTAGAATATATTTTTAATGGTGACATTTGACCTTTACCAGTGATTTCAGAGTTACCAAACACCTTCAATAATCACATGAAAAATAATCTTGACACAAGGTATCTATGTGTTCTTATAATGCTTTAATTAAAAATGTTTACCCATTAACAGTTGGCAAGCAATCTCTGGACTGAGGATTTTTGAAAGGCTTACTTTTATTAAAGACACTCCGTTCCAGTCACCCAAATGCACTTCAGTGTTGCTGTAGCCATTAAATAGAAGTCCCCTTGTAAAAACCATGATGCGTTCAATACTCTTAAGTAATCGAATAAGATCTGTAGTTTCAAAAACTGTTCAAAGTTTGGAAGGAGTTGTACTTCCTATGGAATTTGTTAAAAAGTTTCTCTTGGGGGATTCAGAATTTTTCTTATTTGTATCTTCAAAGAATCCAGAAATTTTTGGTAAGAGTGCCCTGTGTGCTATTTTCTGTAATCAGAGATTCTATTTTCAAATATTCACCCTTCTCTACCACTGTCCTGGGATGGTCCTTGTCTATAGTTAAACAGGGAAATCCTGACCAGCTGCTGTTATATACTTTAAAAAATCTGTCAGACTTTGAACTTGCTATTCCCTGTTAAAACTAAAATGCCACGTGCTTTAAAGCCAAAGGTTTGCGGTGCAGGCCTGACTCTTGTTAACTATGATATCCTGCTGGCCGTTGCAGGAAGTAAACCTTCAGAAAAATGTAACTGAAGAAGGCAGAGGGAAAACCAGGTGAATCAGTGTAAATCTTTTAAGGCAACTAATTGTGAGGTCCTTTATCTAGAAAACAAATATTCTAAAACTTAAAATGTCGTTATTTTCTTGGTTTTCTTCGTGAATAAAAATTGGTGTCCCAGATCCTTGTGGAAGAGAAGTTTTAGTGCTGGATTGAAAATTTCTCTTCCCAAGGCTGCAAACCCACATGTACACCCTGCTCCCCTTCTCTGGTGTGAATGAACTTGGTGGTGGTTGCCCACCTGATACAAATGAGTGGCTGAGTATTCGTGGAGGTCCTGTTTCTCCGTGATTACTGTGAGAAGTTCTCTGTAGGCCCAGTAGGGTTCTGATTGTGGCCACATAGAATTCATGTTATCTCCTGAACTGGTTAGATTCCAGAGAGTTTCCATTAAGAAAGGTCAAGATTCAGCTCCTTTATAGTGCTGGGAGGTTCCTCAAGCTTATGATTAGTTAGGGAGGAGTTGTGTAAGGATAACACTGAAGAGGCCATGTTGACTGGCTTCTCGGGATTTCTGTGTAAACCTGTCCATACATTCTTAGACCAGACCTTATATTCCAGGTCAGCTATAAACACATTAATAATGGTATTTCACATTCACCACAGCTTTCGTCCAAAGCTCTCTAATCACTTTTACAGTTGCTACCTCATTGATCCATGCATGTTCAGTAGATAATTGACAGTAATTTTTACTCCCATTTTACAGAAGGGTTAACCAAGGACAAGATAGTAAAGAATGTTATTTCTTCTACAGTACTGGTCAGTGACAAAACTGGACTTCAGATTTCACCCTAACTGTTGCTTTAACCAGTCTATGCCATCTTTATGTTGAGCTGAGTTTTAGAAGCCCCTTCCTGAAATCATTTGGTAGCTAGTCATCAGTAGCGTTTGTTGGGTTGTACGTGATCAAATAATTACGTCAGGGAGTAGAAAGGTTGAGGGAAGAGGTACTGTTTTTATCCATTTAAAATTGTGTCCTCTTGTCAAACAACTTAGCATGAAGTTTTGGCGTATATACCCCACCTAGGAAAAACTGCAGGACTAGGAGGGGGCTCCACCTCCAATGTTGTAACTGCAGCCTGAAAGCTTCGGTGTTCTATAACCCGAATTCGTATCCCATTGGGCAACTGCTTTCCTCTTTGTACGTAGAGACCCCTGTTATTTCCACCAGGGATTGCACACCTCTTAAGTTTGTCCCTTCTCCTTGAACTCTATTTTAGATATTTACATTTAACCCCTCAGAGGGACTAATTTCTTTAGCAGAGCCCACCGAGTTTTTCTCCCTTTGTCAGTTTTCTCTACTACCAACTTTGGAGAGAAAGAAATTAAAGAATTGTTCTGGTGTTGAAGTAGTCCTTTAAGACAGGAAGAATCTTACTCTTTTCTTCTTGTTCCCTCTTTCAGATCAACTCACAATGAAATGGAGAAGAATAGGTGAGTTGGGGATTTTGCGGGTGGGATAGGGGCCATTTTGATGTATACTCTGTTCGTTGAGACTTGGTTGCTTTTCTTGTCTTTTCCCACAAATAGCACCTGATACGAGAGTTTACTGAGGCCGTCTAAGCAGCACTGCCCATAAATCACTTAGGCAGATGAAGGGCTTGCAAGTTCCAATAGACCACACCCCACCCCTCACTCCTGCAACCTGCTTCTCCTGAGGAGTGCCTTTCCTGGTGACTGTTTCACAGGCCAAAGCATTTTAGGTCATGAGCAGTGTTTCACAAATAGTGTTTTTAAAAAAATTACATGCTACTGAATATAATTGGTAGTTCTGTCTTTAATCATGTACACACCCAGATATATATAAATACACATACATATGTGTGTGTGTATTTACAGTTGTGAATAAAGATTCCAAAATTCAGGCAAATCTATGCATAGCACAAAATGGTGATTCACTAGAGGAGGCCTGCCACCCTCACTGGGATCCATCTGGCTGAGCCTGAGTTGATCTCTCTCACCTGGATTGCCTCTTTGCTATTTGTTTAAATCTTTATTTTCTAAATCAGCTTTGCCCCACCTTCAATGATGTAGCCTACTGGTTCTTGACTCTGGTCGTACATTAGAGTCGTTTGCAAAGTTTTTATTTTAATGTTTTTCTAAAAATATTTTTGGGGCGCCTGGGTGGCTCAGTTGGTTAAGCGTCTGCCTTTGTTTCAGATCATGATCTCGCAATTCGTGAGTTCAAGCCCCACAGCATGCTCTTTGCTGTCCATGCAGAGCCTGCTTCAGATTCATTCTCATTCTCTCTTTCTCTCAAATAAATAAATAAATAACTTAGGGACGCCTGGGTGGCTCAGTCATTTAAATGTCCGACGTCAGCTCAGGTCATGATCACACAGTCCATGGGTTCAAGCCCCACATCAGGCTCTGTGCTAACAGCTCAGAGCCTGGAGCCTGCTTTGGATTCTGTGTCTCCCTCTTTCTCTGCCCCTCCCCTGGCACGCTCTGTCTCTGTCAATAATATTTAAAATTTTTTTTAATTAAAAAATAACTTAAAAATATTATGTTAAATACATTATATATGCATTTATCTATTTGGGGAGAAAAATTTTATTTCTGCTGATTTTATAAAATAGAGAAATTTTCAGACACATGAGAATGAATAATGTAATCAAGTCCTATGTGTCCATCACTCAACTTGAACAATTACCAACATTTTGTAAATCTTATATAATCAAAACCACCCCTCTCCATGGAGTATTTTAAAGCAAATCTTTTATCTCTAATAAAGACTTTATAAAAAAAAAGTAACCACTTGCTTTTACCATGCTGGGGGTGGAGGAATTAATGGTAATTCTTTGTAGAGCTTTTAAAAGAAAGAGAGAAACCAATGCCCAGACCTCACCCCTAGCAATTCTGATTTAATTGGTTTGTGTTGAGACTCTGCTCTAGTATTTTTAAAAGCTCCCCAGGTGATTTTCATATGCTGCCAGGGCTGAGAACCATTGAGCAAGCCTCATTCTGGTCTCTGAGCGCCCATCAATTTGAAATACAGGCTACCCGTTCAGACTGAGTGGCTTTCTCAATGCTCTGCATGAACAAGATGATGATGTGTAATAATGGCTCTGTAAATACATATGGTTATTTCATGCAAACCTTCTATGAAGAGGGGGTCTGACTCTGAAAGTCAGGATCTGAATGACCTGTTTCGTCAGTGAAAGGACAGACCAGACTTACTAGGAAAGAGAATCTTGGACCAGAGTGAACATTTAGCATTCTTCCACTGAGGAATTTTGTGTGTGCACATGCGCGGGGTTGAGGGGTTGCATGTGCCTCACCGCACATTTGCCTCTCCCCAGCCCTCTTCTTCCCTTTTAATTTCTCTGTGATTATGACTGACTGTTGTAAGTCAGAGCTTCCTTTATGCTTTAGGGATTTACATATCCTGAATTGGGGACTCAAAAGTATCTTTTAAGGTGGAAAAGTAGTCAAATGTGGCTTCTCTTTCTCCTCTTTAGATTTTCTCTCAACTTTATGCCTTTGGGTGAACTGGGGACACTGGGACTCTTTGTGCTGAAAAGTCTTCCAGTTCTCCTCCCCCATTCCTGACCTCTTAGGCATTTATTTTTTTATATTTCCATTAGGCACTTATTTTTATTATTACTAAGATTTTAACCCTTCAGATCAGGGCTCTTACACTTACTACAACTCTATGCCTTTTACCTCTGCAAGAATGTCACACAATGTCAGTCATAAATAAAGGTCATTTGGACCTTTTATATTAGCAGTTCAGGGATATTTCTTTTTTGCCTACAGTGTCTCAAGAACTTGTGCTCCATACTAGGTACTAAATGAGTTCACGCTGGGGTATTAAATCAGCATGGTCCCCATCCTAGAGAAATGTAGTTTGTCTAACGAGAAAGACACAGAGACCGTTTCAGTGAGTATACTATGTGCTAAGATGGAGGTATGCACAAGAGGCTCTGGAGGCAAAGAATCTAGAAAACTGGAGTGGAAGTCACCACTGGGCAAGCTGCTTTTAATTCAGACTGCTTCTGTATGACCAGTCAACTTTTGCTTGTTGAAGGGTTAGATATCTGGTTTCCATATTGTCCTTTCTGTTCTGGAATTTGGTCTTTTAAAGTCTTGACAATTCCTTCTCTAGTCTAGAGCACATGAACAGAAAAGAAGGAAGTAAAGACTCAAATTTCTTTAACCAAGCATTGGTTGCTGCAGTCCAAGTGAAGAACAAAGTTATCAGGCTCTTCTCCCTTATTAGTGTAGATGCTTAAGAATCTTCCGGTTTTGAAGTCCGTTGAATAGTTGCTCTTGTAGTCTCCCTGGTTTTAGTGGTTGATTCCTGTAAAAGAATCCTACCTAGCTTCATGCGTATACACTTTAGCCATTCTTTACCTTAAAACATCACATAAAAAAATTGACCTGTCTCTCAAAACCTTAGGAAAAGAACTTCTAATGATGGGAATTATTTTTCTCTTTGATATTGCAGAGTTGATTATACTTGGGTTAGATTTTTAAACAGAAACCTTTTCTGTGACACTTCAGAGATTCTGAATAATTATATTTGGTGTTCCTTTGGACTCTACTATGAGAATATTAGACTCAGCACCACGATATTGATAACCTTTGCATTGGTGAGAAGATAAAAGCCTTCTAGAATGGTGGAGGTGGGGGTATTTTCCATTCACTAGATTAGAAGATGTTAGAAGAAGCTGTGTACTAGGTGCTGGGAACACAGAACCGGATGAAGACGAAACCCCTGGGGCGGAGGGTTCAGTAATATCACTATAGATATGAATGCCTGTCCCTTAGCCTGTGTTTCTCTTAACTGTAACGAATTTTGTGGCTCTAGCCTCCTAAGGAAACACCCTTAAGTGAGTGTGTGGTGTTTTTCTTTGTAAAACTAATCTTCTAGAAAATTTTGAGAAATATAGGAAGTCTTTCTAAAAACAGTTTATATCATCCATAATTCTATCAGCCAGAGGAAACCAGTGAACTTTGAAGTGTATCTCAACAGTTGTTTTGGAAGATATAAAAATCACCTGTAATAGATCTTGGGACAGTTGACGGCTGCTGACACTCCTGCTAAGTTCCATATCCATCTAGACTTTTGTGTATACTTTTTTTCATCAACATGGGATCATATAGTAAATATTTTGTATCTTCTTTTCAAGCTACATTATGAATATTTTCCAGTGTCCTTAAGTCTCCTTTTCTAACATTACTTTTAGCAAAGGCCAGTATTTACCTCAGACGGATGTGCCATAACTCGTATAACCAATCCCCTGTTTATGTTCTTCCCAGTATTTTGCTAATATGAAAAGCACTTCCTTAAACCACCTTGTAGATAAATCTCTGTCCAATATCATAATTATTTCCTTAGGGTAAGTTTATAGTTGTGAAATTAACAATAATATACATTGTTCTAATTTTTAGTGTTGACAGCTGGATTGTCCACCAGGCAAGTTATAGGCTGTATCTTCTGTATACTTTCACAAGGTGATACTCTAAGACCCTTATGAATTTGGTAAATAAAAAACAAAAACAGACAACTTGTTTTAGTTTGCATTTCTTACATTATTAGCATAGTCAAATAATTTTCGTGTGTGTGTGTGTATCACCTGTTAAATAACATTTGCCCAATTTTCTACTCTGACGTTTCTTTTTCCTTCTTATGAAGAGATTATATAATATAAAGGATCTATATGAAAGAGATTGCCCCTTTGCATATCACATAATTTTCTAATTTATCATTTCCCTTAACAGAATATTTTCTCACTGTTTTCTCTCACTGTTTGAAGTTGCTGCCTCTGTTGTATATTAAATTCTTGTTTACTGCTGAGTCTGTTTCTAGACGACTACTTCTGTTCCACTGGCCATCTGCTCTTCCTGTGCCAGTGTCCATTGTTTTAGTCACTGAGGTTTTGCCATGCACTTCAAGATCTGGTAAAGCAAATCCCTACTCTTCCCTCCTCCTTTTTTAATTTTACCATGATCTTAGCTATTTTCACTAGTTTGTTTTGTTTTTTTTTTTTTTTTCCCTGATGAATTTTATAGTCCATCCATCTCCCCATCCCTCAAATTCTTTGGGGATTTTCAAAATAAATAAAAAATTTAATAATTTCAATATAAATTAACTTTAAAAGTTCACATCCACATATTAGCTCTTTCCATCCAGGATGTGATGTGTGTCTTCATTTAGATCCGTTTTCTGTCTCTAATGTTTTATGGTGTTTCCCCATAGATCTTGCATATTTCTTTTTTTTTCTTTAATTTTTTTAATGTTTATTTTTGAGGAAGAGAGCATGAGCAGGGGAGGGGCAGAGAGAGTGAGGGAGACACAGAATCTGAAGCAGGCTCAGGCTCTGAGCTTATCTGCACAGAGCTCAACATGGGGCTCGAACCCACAAACTGTGAGATCGTGACCTGAGCCCAAGTCGGACACTTAACCGACTGAGCCACCCAGGCGCCCC